TTCAGCATAAAATATCACTCATTTCATTCAAATGAAAAGGAGACAGGGTGGGTGGGCGGGGCTACTTACAAGTACTTGCTAAGGTAAGACTGATTTTGGCAGATAACATATCTTCTAAGGAAATAGAGGGTGGGTGGGCGGGGCTAGTACTTTCTAAAATAAGAATAATTTTTGCAAATCGAATTCCCCTAAGAAAATAGAGGGCGGGCGGGTGGTTATAGTACCTGCTATTGAGATTTTTCGGTTTTTCGATTTATCTATTTTTGAACTTTGGATGTCTCAATTTTTCAATTTTTCCATTCTCCAAATTTTCGATTTCTCGACTTTTTATTTTTCGATTACTGGATTTTCCTATGTTTTATGATACGATTTCTCTAGTTTTGTCCTCTTTAGTTTTACGATTTTTAAATATTTCGATTTTTCAATTTTTCAAATGTTGATGTTTCTAAATTTTCAGTTTTCCGATTGCTGAAGTATTTTTTTTATTTTTCCATTTCTCGACTTCCCAAAGTTTCGGTTTCTCACTTTTTCAATTCTTCAATTTTTCAATTTTTTAAGTTTCCGATTTTGCGACTTTTGGATTTTTGGACTCCTGAATTTTTGATTTCTCGGTGTTTTACTTTTTGGATTTTCAATGTTTCGTTAAACTTTCGACTGTTTTGTACGTCGATTTCTCAATTTTTCAACTTTTTAATGTTTTAATTTTGCAGTTTTTAAAATTCTAGGTTTTTCGATTTCTCGAGTTTTCAGTTCTTTTTTTCAATTTGTCAATTTTCCGAATTTTTTAATTTTCGGGACGGACAGTAGTACAATAGCAAGAGATATTTACAACACAAGATTGATTTTGGCAAATTACATAATCTCTAAGAAAATAGGGGGCGGGTGGGCGGGGCTAGTACTTGCTAAGGCAAGATTGATTTTGGCAAATGACATAATCTCGAAGAATTCAGGAGAAATAGGCTACTGTCCGTCTCGTTATTGCCAATAAAATTTTATAGGGTAGAAAGAAATTTCCAAAACTATACTAGCCCCACCCACCCGCCCTCTATTTCCTCAGAGATTATGTCATTTGCCAAAATCAATCTTGTCTGAGCAAGTATTAGCCCCGCCCATCTCCTATTTTCTTAGAGATTATGTCATTTGCCAAAATCAATCTTGTGTTAGTAAATACTAGCCCCACCCACCCGCCCTCTATTTCCTTAGAGATTATGTCATTTGCCAAAATCAGTCTTGTCTTAGTAAGTACTAACCCCGCCCACCCACCCTCTATTTTCTAAGAGGGTAAGTCATCTGCCAAAATCAATCTTATCTTGCTAAGATAAGACTGATTCTGGCAAACCACATACCCTCTAAGAAATTAGAGGACATGTGGGCAGGTCAGGCAGGCTAGTACTTATTAAGATAAGATTGATTTTGGTAAATGACATATCTTCTAAGAAAAAAAGGGTGGGTGGGCGGGGCGAAAACTTGCCAAGCTGGGACTGAACAATGTTAAAGAGTAGTCACTGGAACCAAGAAGGGGTGGGTGGACGGGGCTACTGCTTGCTCATGAAACTAGAAAAAGCTAAATTTAGCCCCGCCCACATTCTTTCTTCATTTCACTGATTTACTTTAATTAGTGTAAAATGGAAATTGAAAAATAACAGTATTGTATTACCAAAATTTTCTTATTAATTTTTTGGAGAGGCTGTTTAAGTAAATCATTGGTCTAAAGAGTTTAGACAGTACTTCCCTCGCTGGCGGAAACGTGACGACTGCATGCTTATTATGTTTTTTTTTCGCAGTAGATTTCAAAGCATTCGGTTTTGTAGTACCTGAGTAAACCAATATAATAAATTTACGCATTCATTAATTTTTTTGAGTCACCCTGTATACGCAAATCCAAAAAATATGAATGGAATGATAAATCACAAGTACAGACTCATCATATTTTGTACGTTTTAAATAGAATTTATTCGGCAAACTTTTGAGCTGACGTCACCAAGTTTTTGGAGGGGATAACCAAATATATTTCGACTAAATATTGATGATGCTCTTTATAGCCTTAAAACATCTGCAACATTTCAAAACATTCGGGTTAGCAGATTCAAAATTAAATTGCAAAATGTGGTTTTATAATTTTGATTTTTTTTTCCAAAAATCTGGACGTTTCGGGTAAAAACTCAATTCGGAGTCGTAAACTACATGTGTAGAACTATGTTATTTTATACAATTTAAAACCCATTTACTATGTACAATTTTGAAGTGACGTCATCGCATTAGTGGTGGGGATGATTAGACAAATTTTGGTTAGCGTTTTACCATCTACATGATATTCCTAATATAAGTACAAAATTTCACAACACTCGGTCCAGTAAATTCACAGTTCATGTTAGGATTTTAATCGTTAACTGGTTCTAACACAATGTAACAGACATTGCTAGGAGTTTTCATGAAATTCACTTAGTCTGGATCTTAATACGTAAATGTTACATTATAACACTTCTTAATTCTTCACACAAGATTGCCAATAGTTCATTTACAGCAGTTAAATTAACAAATTCATAATATCGTGAACTGACGGAGGATTAAACATTTCTTCCCTTAGGTAGTTATTATCGTTATCATCATTACATCACCGAGGCATTTCCTCGCAACGCTAAAAAATTACATCACAGAGACGCTTGTTCCTCGCAACGCTGACTGGGGGTATTTTTGTGTTTATTTATCATGTGTTTTGTTTGGGGTAAACCGTTCCTCAAAACAATTGTTTTAAGTAACCGATCACTTGGATCAAGGCAACATTTAACACAATGTAAATTCTTTGTTTGAATCGTTGATAAAGTGTGGCAAATATTAATCTCACGTAATTTTATTAGCTTGGCAATTTTTTACCTCATGCAATTTTTTTATCTCACAATTTTAACTTCAGTAATTTTCTTTGTTGTATAATTTTAATTAAACGTAAATTTCCATGCTCTGCAGTTTTAACCACACGTAATATTTTTTGGTTGTTTAAAATTCCACAAGATTGTATGGCGAATTTAGATGTTGTTTATTGCCCTTTTGAAACTTTAACACTTGTTCAGTTGTCGTTAATATCAGAGTCATAGAAATTGAACATTTAAAATGGAATTGATGTTAAATAACACCGAAATACGTGGCTGAAGCGGAGGGCGCGGTTCCTAGTCGAGCTGCGCTATTTAAAATATGAGGGTTTCGGTGAACAGGTGATTAAATGGCTTAACATTAGTGGACGTCATTTTCTCTATCAAAATTTGATTTTTGTGGAATTAGTGCTGTCAACCAGAAAAATGTCCCCCCTATTACAATGGATTTTCTTCCAAGTTGGCAGCACTGCACACTCCCGCAATTTGATTAGCTGAAAACCCGACGTCAACGGCAACGTCAACGGATGATATAAACAACACTAAATGTTACCAAAATATCATTCATTGCTCTGTAACGATAGTCTAGTCCTTGTACCACAAGAACATCTTTTTTCTTTACACCAATCCTTGAAACGTGTACAGGCAAATTAATATATTTCACCAGAGTTTGGTGAAAGCAAATTCAAAGACACTTCTTTTGCACAGTCCAATATATCTGCAGCTATAGTTTTGGAAATTTCATTCTATCCTATAACATTTTATTGGCAATTTTTTTTAACAATCAATTACTCATCAAAAATGTTGCACCTTTAATCCATAATCTACTATCTATCGTTGTTTATTGCATTTCCAAAAATAACCCGATCCTTGCAATTATTATATCGCTTTTAAATTTGTTGACACATCTCGGATTAACATCATTTCACGTTTCATGCGTGTGGTGGCATTTTTGACATTTTGGCAAGACGGAGGCAGTTCTAACAGTTCATTTCGTTGATTGATATTTCTACAGAAATGACTGAGTCTGTTGACAATCCTAGATCTTTAGTTGAAATTGACATCATGATGTTTTCAATAATTTCCGGTTGTCAGCTGTCAAGATTGACAGATTGATGACATTTTTAAGTTGCAAGATATATCCAAAATATAACCTAAATTTATCGCATGTCACGATTGAAGTATCTGTCACTCAGTTACTTCCGTTATGCCAACACAAACGCAAGAAAAGTTTACATTTTTGTTTCAAAAATACCACCCACAGACTCGGTCATTTCTACCACGCGATATAACATTCTCGAAATTTTAGAAACGTAAAAGAATTGTATCGTCGCAAAAAGGAATCTGTTTTAGACTACTGCTGCAAATACCCAAAAATGCAAATATTACAAATATGAACAAATATGTGCCGTAAACAATGCATAAAATCCGCTTAATTAGCCATAAATAACTTTTACGGTTGCCACTTTTCGTTATCTAAATAACTGTGTAAAAACGGCGATGACACAAATACCTGTGCCTATCACTCCCATAAAAAAAATTAAAGCAGCACTAATTTGAGGCGCTCGTATACATCCTAATTAAATTGAGCAATCTCCATTCCGAACAAACAGCGTTCCACAAAAAGAGGAAAATTTTTCAAACGGCCACTTTCCCCATAATTGCCTTCTGTTCTGGATCCGAGCGACGTTTCGGTTATGAAGTAATAGCGGTTGATCGTCCACAAAATGACTGTCATTAAACGGATCAACAACCTACGTAATTTTACGCCGATAACACGGCTGCAAAAACGAATTCTCGCGATTGCAATTAGTGTTCAAGCTAATTAAAACGCCGGTCTCCCGACGAGGGGGTGGTTTTTATTTAAACGTTAGGCGACTGATTCACGATTTAATTTATTACGATCGACTCACTTAAAGTTAATGGAACGATTAATAAATATTTGATTTTTATTTTGTCACCGTACGATTATCTAATCGATTTGTGTTAAGGCCGGGCTTTGAAAAAAATTAAATCGATGTTTTGGAAATTTCGCTGCGAATGCATGACGTATTTTGTGGATTTTTACGTGACATCAGTATGCAAATACATATTATACCTGCGTACGGCGGGATTATGCTGAGATAAGTAAATGTGAAGTATGTACTCGGTTTGGTTGTTGCACGTCTGACATTTGAAAAAACGGCTCTAATGGCCTTAGTGAATTTTTAATGAAATTGCGGTTCTGCGTGTTTTTAGCGAATTCGTTTTCTTGTCGGCAGTATTGAAGGGGGATTAATTATTGCTAATTGGCACGCAAAACGCGATCCACGGAATTATTGGAAAAAGTATTAGTGTTGTGGATTGCAGAACACGAAAATGACTACGTTTGGAGTAGGCCGTATTTTGTTGTATTTTCGTTGGGTTTAACGCAGCATGAAATTGGTAAGCAGTTTTGTGAAAGGTGTGCATAGTGTTGTTTCAAAACAAATTTTGGAATTTACGAGACTCCAATGCCAAATTAGGTGTGCAGAACAATACTTTTAATAACGATTATTTCAACTATTTACGACTCTTATTCAACAAAACGTATAAATACATTAAAAAACCTGTAACAAATTTAATTGTACACGCAACAACACGACTACCTAGTTAAATTTTTAATTGGACATAAGTATGTTAAAAAAGCTACGTTTGGAGTAAACTTTAACTTACTTGAGGCTAAATATTTAAGAACTTTTAAGGATGCACCGTTTGAACACTTTTCATTAGATAAATCGACGCTCATTTCAAACAACCGATGCTATTGTCGAAGCTGACTGTAACTCCCATAAAATGAGGCAACAAACGAATATTCCATCGATCCGACGCTAATCACGAGATTGTGTGTATTAATATTTCATTTCATTGTTTTCGTGCTGTATGTCGCCAAGTACTGACCCATATCATGACAAATTTAAACCAATTAAACACAAAAAAAATTCCAACTCGAACAACCGCAGATGGCGCTTTATGTTTCATTTAACACTGGAAAAACTTATTTTTGTATATATGTATTAGTAATATTATACATATATGTGTATTTATTTTAAGTTCAAATTAAACTCGTGGTGCATCTACCGTCTCCCAGATGGCGCCACCGCGTACATCACCAGAAAATTCGTTTTTCGTGTTTGTTTTATTCCACATGGCGAATAAGATCCGCAATCTATTCCCACCGAATTAGCATTTCATGCGCGTTCTATAGCGTCGCGATTGCCACTCTAGGTGTTTTATTTGTACAGAACCGGCCTCGTAAAATTTACATACAATAAAAACGACGATAATCTGAAGATGAGCATCAAATCTACTACTTACGAAGAACGCTGAGCGTAACCTGAGCGAATCCTCTTCATTGTTAAGAGACAAGGCCTACGATATAAAAACCAGCTGGTAGCAGTCAAGAAACGTTTTGAGACTAAATCACGGAGGCGTAATTTGAAGGGAAGGAAAGCGTTTAGCGTAATAGGAAAAGTGAAAACGAAGGGGATAATTTGAAAAGGCTTTTAAAAGATTTTTGTATAGAAATATAAAATTCGTCTTTAGGCAAATCGGGGTACTAGTTTGAGCTACCGCAACCCAGATGGCGCGGAATTTTGTATACCGCTTTAAAAAAAAAGAATGACATATGTAACACACTACAACTTTATCCATTTTAATAATCAAAACTACGGTAATCTCATAGAATTTCTGAAATAAAAGATTCACGGTTATTGCTCATTAAAAATGGATCATATCTATTGATTTCTCTGGCGGTCGCATTTATTGCATACGTAATTTCACTCCGGACACACATATTGATCTCCAGTATAAAATATTTACATACAGGATGAGCATCGTTTAAAACTGAAATACTTATGCAATGCAAGTGTGTATAACGAAAAATTGAAACTTTACTAACCGCCAAAGTAATGGTTATTTATATAATTTTTTATGATTCTTATCAGATTACATGTTTCTTCGTAGTGGAATTCTGAGAAATTCTAGTTTCACTCTCTAATTCAACCAAAATGATCAACAAACGCTGCGAATCAGACCGAATCACTTCCCTTTCAAGTATGTAATTTCAGTTCAAAAGAAGTGGTTAAAACTGCGATGTAATGGCAACTTTGTTTGAAAAACTATTGGCAATAAGCTGTTTAATGAATGGGCATTCATTCAATGAGAATAGAAAACGTGTACAGGAATGTACTCGATAATTAGAGTATTGCGCACTAATTACCTTCATTTTCTTATTTATATGTCCGAATGATTAAAATATGTACTTAATTCGTAATGAACGTTCTTCCTTTTGATGTAAAAAACATACGAATCGTTTGCTGGCATTAACGAGGGTGAGACACGATGGCTAAAGCATTTATTTTGCAATTAACTTAATAAATAATAAATTAATATAACACAAATATTTCCATGAAATTAATTATTAAAAATTATTTAAATAGTTGTTATTGACTGACACCTTTTTTTCAAATGAAAAATGTTTTGTAGGGGAACTAAAGGGGATACATGTTTACTTTCCGAGCGTAATAGGCCATTTTTATGTTTTCTCGACGTACGAAAAAATGGGTCTCCCTCAATTCGGTGCATTCTCATATGTCAAGAATGTAGAAAAAGTAAAAGAAACGAATTTATACCAAGAAAATTGTCCAGCGAAATAAATTCCAAGCTGCGTGTATTTCGTACGTTTAGCGAAATCTTTATAACAAAATCAAGATCTTAAACAAAAAACTAAATGGAATGAGTACTTAAAACATGCACGACCACAAGTAAAAAACAAGCTGTGTGGGTGTTTGGGAAGGGTTGATATTAAAAATACATCTTAAAATTGATCATTTTGTGTAAAATAGCAAAGGTGACGTCGTTTGCGGAAAATCAGCGCACGTATAAGGCCAAGGATATGGTCATTTTATAGTTTTAATCGTTCTAGATTTCGAACCTCCACAATTTTAAGTGTCTCAGATATTCAAGTGGAACAGCTAAACGGGGACACCCGGTAATCATTTTCTAAATTAAGAATAATGGAAACCACCCCTACGTTTCCCGAATTTTTGACGAAGTTACGTCGGCATTATTGTTAATTTTTTTAAATACCAATTACGTAATTACTCACACCTACACTTTTACTTTTTGACATTTGGCAAATCTGCAGGATCCTGAACATCCACCTATAACCGTTGGTATTGTAAACGACCAAAACTAAAGACCCAGTACCCAGTACCAAAATTCCCCCATTGCAAAACCCCGTCCTTGATCTTGTTTTTTCCACTCCAACCCACCGCCGATAGCCGGTTTATTTACCTTCCTTCCATACTTCCATAGTTAATGAGGCCATAAAAATTAACCGACAACCATGCACCCTACCAAACAACCCAAACATTAATAAACCATCCGCACTCTAGATCAATATACAATGATCGCCGCACACTTCCCGCAACATCACCGAAGAGAATTCAATTTTCGGCACACATGTCCACCGCGAAAAGAACTCACCGTTTCTGCCTGCAACTGCAGCCTTCTCGATGGCTCCCGCTCGAGTCGGACTGGAGTCGACGGGGACGAAACCGGAGCGGAAACGTCACTGCATCACTGGCAACGTCCGTCAGGGGGAAAAGAGGGGGCGAGTCTTAAGCACGACGCGGATTTTTTTGTCAAAATGTCACATTCTTTGTGGTCGGATGGTTAGAGCACGACCGAACTATACACGGCACCGCGAAAGAACACGGTCTGGTTCTGAAGTCGCGACTAGAACGTTCACCAGTTGGTCCAATAAGAACTCGTCGCCAGGGCCGGACTCGGCGTCGGGGGGTCGCGGGACGCGCTGGAGGGTCGTACTGAGTCATATTTTCACACAGGAAGGACGTATACCGCAGCTCGGGGCACATTTTTCGTTACTTTTCTTGGATAACATCATCAACTTTGTAAGCGCGATGAACAAATATATTTTAATTAAAACTATGTAATCATCAAATTAGTGGTGGTACGTTGCCACACTCTGAAGAAGTCTTTTAGAAAAATCTCTGAAATAGATCACAAAATTTGATAGTTGTTACTTATTTAGGCCAACTGTATATTTAACATTAATTTAACTAGGTATTGAGCTTGTGATGCACTTTTGGGATGAGATTTACTTATCAATAGTTGGAGGTAATGTCGCAGTCTTTTTTTTATATAAATCGGAAAGTCGCATACGGCTTCAAAACAATCGGTTGGAGCTGGGTGGGTAGTTTGGTGCTCATTTTCTACAATATTGATAAGAAAACCCCGCTTAAAATAGGCAACCCTCGATGACGTATGTATTAAAGGTTGCCTAATAACGTTATAACTGTATACACTGTGTTGAGCGAAAATTTTAATGTTTTTTTTGTGTTCAGTCAATTTTTTGTTTAGTTTTTCGTATTTAGGTCAGCTTAGGAGGGATTTCATTGCTGTCAGTTTAAACAAGAGCCGACGAAATATTTCCCCTTGTATTTCCGCATTGGGAAATCCAAACAGTGCGAAAATTCACAACAACCGCAGCGCAACCCTTGGGCTAAACATCAACAACCCGCCGCCTACATTCCGCCGAATCCGGCCCTGGCCCCCCTTTCCCTCGACGAAGACAGCCATACCTGTTCCGTCGGGCCCGAAAGAGACGGCAAACTGCAGAAGAATCCCAGAGCAGGAGTGGGGGCGCCAGAAAACCGACCAACTCTCCTGTCATTCCGCAAACGTGCGCAAACTGTGTCAGTGCAACAAAAACACCAAAAATCGCCCGAAAGCCGCCTCGAAGCCCCGTTTTCGCACGTGATGCTATCGCAGGTGTGTTCGGTCCCTTGTCGAGCCCCCGCAGCGCCGCGCCTCCTGTAATGGCCCGCCGCAATGAGCTGTTGGGCTTGGGGCTCCTGGCCGCCGTGTGCCTGCTCTTCATCGCCTTCAGCCAGAAGGAGAGCCCCCGGTACTCCCGCGCCCTCAAATACGAGGAGCTCTACGACGAGGGCTTGCCCGAGGCGCACCCCAACGCCTCGCTGCTGAGCGTCAAGGAGGTGGTGCGTCTGCAGCAGAGCGCCATTCGGTACGCCCTGAAGGACTACCCCTTTCCCGCGGGTCGGCGGCTGAACGACTACACGCTGGCGGCGGGCGGCCGCCCGCTCCGTACCGTCATCGTCACCACCTGGCGGTCGGGCTCCACCTTCCTGGGGGATGTGATAAACGCGGTGCCTGGAAACTACTACCACTACGAGCCTTTACTCGACTACGGGATCATTCAGATCCGGGGGCCCCCGCACGCGGACTCGGCCATCGCGAGCCTGCGGAGTCTGCTGAACTGCGACTACTCGAGCCTTCAAAACTACCTGGAATACGGGAAGACCCACACGTACCTGTTCATGCACAACACGAGGTTATGGGGGCTGTGCGAGACGTTCCCGCACTACTGTTGGAATGCCACCTTTCTGAGCAACGTCTGCAAAGTGTTCCCGTTCCAATCGATGAAGACGGTGAGGATTCGGTTGAGGCTAGCTGAAGAGTTGCTGAGGGACGAAAAGTGAGGGTTTTTGGAGGTTATGGTTAACTTAATGAGTTCGGGGTTTGTAGGTTAAACGTGAAGGTGTTGCTGCTGATGAGGGATCCGAGGGGGAGCCTCCAGAGCAGGAAACACAGGGACTGGTGTCCAGGAGAGCCCGATTGTGATAAGCCCAATCTGGTGTGTGCCGACATGGTCGCAGATTATAGTGCTGCTATACAACTCAAAAAGTTGTATCCAGACAGGTTTAGGTAAGGGGCTGCCAAGCAACTTTCTACAGGTTATTTCATCATAATAATGCGTCTAATTTGTCTTTAAGTTTTCATAAAACAAAATTAATTAGAATGTGTGTTGATGGTAAAAAAATTAATTTGTTACCGCATTGTGAACTTTATTGTTTTGTATTAACCATAAAACAGTTAAAAGAAAGTTATTGGGGGCGTAATTAATAAAGGATGTAATAACATGATGTAAACAGAAGGTGGTATGATATCATTTTATTGTGTAAATTTATTCTCAAGTGTGACAGAATCTGTTTTTTGATAAACCTTTATGTAAACAGCAAAATTCGCACATTATTTTTTTTTCAGATATCTTGAGTAAGAAATTTACAAAATGAAAATCACTAGACATATTTTGTTTAATCATTTTTTGAGATGACGTCACCAGTGTTATGGGATACATGAATAAATTTTAATTAAAATTGCCCAAATCAGTATCTATTGTCAAAGTCTTTTAGATTATCAAAAAGTGATATTCAAAATGTTTGTGACTACTGAACTCAATGGGACAGTAACAACCTCAAGGCAACTCTTAAAATTTGTTTTAAAGGTTATGTTTGTAGGTTATGTTTTTGTGACTTTTTTTCCCGTTGAGCCAAATTATAAACAGATGGATTTTCGAAAAAAATGTTTACGCCTTGAAGCTTTAGTAACCTGAAATGCTCGCCGCGCTCGCGTTATGTATGTTTTGTTGCTTAGATCTAAAATTAATATTCATGAGTTTACATTGTCACAAAATCCAAATCCAAATTTTTGTACTAAGAAATCCGGAAAAACGCTTTATTAGTTTACCTAAAACACAACTCTGGCTTTTAAAATTCTTATGATTAACACAATTAGTGAACTTCGCAATTAAGATAATTTCACTAGAAAAAATTTAATGTGTGTTGGTTCTACACGATTTCACTCTACATGATTTTAAGACGTTGTGGGTCGCACTTATTATACATACATACCCACAACGACTTTTTATTATTTTTAAGAATGTTAACAACACAAAATATAATTGCTAACTTTATTGGATCGTCCCTCGCTCGTTCCTGAAGGGTATTTCAAGAGCATCGCAAACATTGTACTGGATCGAGATGAAAGTAAATATGTCGCTAATAGCTAACAAACAACAAACTGTTTATTAAGCATATTTATAGGCTAATTGTCACGTTTTCTGGAAATGTTAAGCAAACACTAGATAAAGTAAAAAAAAGTAGTTAGTTTAATGCTACTTTAGCACCAAATATTTAGAAAGTTATCAACGTAAAAACTTTAGCGTTATGATTGAATGACACATCGGTATGACTTTCATCGCTTAATAACAAATTGCACTCTCCAATATCCGGTATGAAAATTTCTCCGCGATTTCGGCGTTTTTAGCCAGTCGAACCATTTTTCGATCACTCGAAAGCGATAAAGTGTGGAATTTATGAAAGGAGAGTCGCGTTTTATGCCCATGAGGTGCAGATGACATTTGCACCTGATACTTTCACTCTGTTGCAGCAAGCACAATTAAAATATAAGACCCAAGGTCGAAATGGGTCGCTAAACCGTTATCCATACGTCCGAGTTGTCGTGACTACGTATTATTGTCATTGCAGAGCCATCCGCTACGAGGACCTCTGTATGGACCCTTACAACCACCTGAAGGACCTCTTCAAGTTCTTCGGCCTCTACTTTCACCGGGCCGTTCGGGAATTTCTCGACTCCCATACGAAAAAGGACGTGGGGGGCGTGTCGAGCACCAGCCGCGACACCAAGAGCGCCCCATTCCACTGGAGGGCCGATTTGAACTTCTCCGAGGTTCAGTACATTGAAGAAAACTGTGATCAAGCGATGAAACTGTGGGGATACATAAAAGCGAGCAATGAGTCACACCTTCGCGAATTTCATCCACTGACAAACTATTCTATAGAGTAATTAGTTTTAGTGGGCAAGCTTTAATTTCGTTTCTCGGCCAGTGGCAACTCGTAGCGACGGTTTAATGTGATTTTTGTTTCATTTTAGACGAGGCGCCACTACGGTCTGAATCAAACATCGAAAGTCCTACCTCTGATGTGACCCCCAGGGCCGTACCGAGTTCGAACGCTGGCTTGTTGTTTTTGTAAAGTGTGCGGCCCTGAAGACCTCCGAACGGAAGAGTATTTTTGATTTAAGTACCTACGACGCAACTAGTGATTTTATTGATATTAGAGCTAGGTGAACACGGCTTGTACATCATAGGAACTTAGTTCGTTGAGTCACTTGTGATGAATTTGACAACATTGCTTGCCACGGTTAATAGAACACTCGTTAGATGTTGCCAGATTGACTTACGGAGACTCGATCTCTTGTTACTTGGCAGCTTTTTAGTGCAATTGCAGCGCGGAGGGACCGAGTCCCTTTTTTTATTATTATTGTTATTATTATTTTGGAAACGTGGCTGCTGCGACGTCCTAACAATTGCTCAAACGTGCACTTATAACAAATCATGCAACTAATCGTAAGAATGTTTTCGATTTTCGAGCACTGTTGTCTGATTTGACCTCATTTCGTTAGTCTTACCTCCCTATTATAGTCAATTGTTTGAAGTACCTATTTCGATCAAAGGGGGTGCAACTCGTCTCGTTTAAGAACGCCTTCGACGCGTTTGATATCATGTAGAGCATATCTTTACGGAAAATAAGGATTATAATCATAGGACTGTGCCTTTCAGTACCATGGCATCGTTCACGGAGCACAAAATATTTTCTTGCACACGACTATGATTTTAGGTTAAACGACAAGTTCGTTTTATCATAGAACTCACCGGTACGAGCCTAAGCATTAGGATAATTACACGCCACAATCACATTTTGGGCTTCCAAACGTAGTTTTCGATCACAGTCTAATAGACGCGACGCCATTTTTTTCGAATCTCGCCACTAAGCAATATGGCCATCTAGTAGGCTGTGATTTTGACGTTTTCAACATTCCTTTTTCTTGCTTGGGGCATTTCGAGTCGACTAGGAAGCTAGATTAAGTCGCCTAAAATTGTGACAGGTTTCGAAGTTTGGTTGGTGTTTCGTATTGTGATGTTTTCTTTATGGTTAGTTTTAAGTTCTACAAAATCGTACTTGTTTTACATTAGCCGAATTTTATATATTTTGATATTGAGAGTAATTGTATACTGAGGTGGCCTAAACGGTTGACAAATTTAAGGTACAATATGTCACATGTTATATACTCACATGATTTGAATAATATGTTTATTTACAAACAGAATGGGGTTTGATTTTCCCGCCAAACTTGCGATTGGTGCATACACAGCCTTCGTCCATTTTTACTTCCCGATCTTTCATGACCCCTAAAGTCTATTTGTTATAAGAACTCCATAGTCTTGTAACACCGTAACAAATATTTCTCAAACGTTACTATTTTTGTCTCACTTTCTCTCATTGCGGTTGAGATGAGACGTATTGCTTAGCATTTTAGGGGCGGTCCTAAAGATCTACCGATAGGTGCGTACAAAGCAGAAGTTCTCAAACAAAAAGTACTGTTTTTTTGAACTTGAAAAGGACAAAACATAACTGTCTGAGAACCGTTGTCAAATTTCGGGTTTCACTCCAACAGGCGGAGCTATGTGTTTTCTCTCTCGCACATCCGCTTAAGTTAAAATGAGATAGCGTTTTGTTGTTCTTGTTTCTCACAGCATAACTCAAAGTACGGGTGGTGGAAAAAAGAGAAAACGAGTTTTATGATATCCTGGAAAAATTATAACAAATGAAGTATACAGTACGAAGAAATAGGTCTCCCATTTCCATCTGTCTATCTGTCTCCGAAAGTACTGAGCCGATCGTTGTCAAATTTTGCACGTCACTTCAAAATTATTCATAGTAAATGGGTTTTAAATTGTATCAAATAACATAGTCTTAAACATGTAGTTTATAACTCCGAATTGAGATTTTACCCGAAACGTCCAGATTTAAAAAAAAAAAATCAAAATTAGGAAACATTTTGACGTTTAATTTGGAATCTACAAAACCGAATGCTTTGAAAACTTGCAGATGGTTTACAGTAATGATAAGCATGATAAGTTTTTATTCAAAATATATTTACTTGTCCCCTCCAAAAAATTGATGACGTCACCTGAAAAGTTTGCCGAATAAATCCTATCTAAAATGTAGAAAATATGATGAGTCTATACTTGTAATTTATCATTCCATTCATATTTTTTAGATTTACACATACAGGTGACTCAAAAAAATTAATGAATGCGTTAATATATTTTATTTATTTAATCAGGAACTACAAAACCAAATACTTTGAAATCTTGGAGATGTTTTAAAGTTATCATAGGCATGGTAAATTTTTGATCAAAATATATTTGCTCATCCCCCCTAAAAAATTCGCAATTTATCACCTTTTAAATTTAACAAGTTTAATTTCCAAGTTTTTTAAGAACTAGCCTCGCCCACCCGCCCCCTATTTTCTCATAGAATATGTCATCTGCCAAAATAAGTTTTACCTTAGCAAATACTAGCCCCGCCCACCCGCCCCCTATTTTCTCAAAGAATGTTATCTGCCAAAATAAGTTTTACCTTAGTAAGTACTAGCCCCGCCCACCCACCCTTTATTTTCTTAGAGGGTGTGTCATCTGCAAAATCAGCATTATCTTAGCAAGCACTAACACCGCCCACCCGTATTTAATTAAAGGGCGTATTATTTGCCAAAATCAGTCTTGTCTTAGCAAGTACCAACTCTCCCAAACGTCTTTATTTTCTTAGAGACTATGCCATTTACCAAATCAGTCTTATTTTGATTTTTATTTTTCATTTTCCCGATTTTTTAATTTGGAATTTCTCAGTTTGTATCACAATGTTTCCTGTTTTTATTTCCTTTACTTTTTCAATGTTTCATTCGATTCTATCATTTTTCGTTTATTGAATTCTTCAAATTTTCAATCTTTTATTTTTTTCAATTCCCCGATTTTCCAATTTCATAAATTTTCAACTTTGAGATTTTTGGATTTCTCAGTTAACCGTTTTTTCGATTTCTTTCATTTTCAATATTTCGACTTCACAGTATTTCGTTTTTTCGATTTGGATTTCTCAATTTTTAGTCTTTCGATTTTTAAATTCTTTGTTTCTTCAGTTTTCAAGTACTTAATTTGCAGTTTTTTGTTTTTTTTTTTTTCAATTTAAACCCAAGTTTTTTCATTTTTGATTTTTCAATTTTACAATTTTGTAATTTTTCGATTTTTTTTTAATTCCAAAAGTTGAAAAAATCGAAAAACTAAAAATTCGGAAAAATTTAAAAATCAAAAAACAGAAAAAACGAAAAATTGCTAAATTGAAAAACTCCAAAATACTCAAATGGAAAAAGTGAAAAATTCTAAAAATTATAATTATTAGATATTTAAAAATGAAAACTAGAAAAATTCCAAAACAAAAATTGAAGAAAGGAAAAACTCGTTATTATTATTAATGAATGATTTATTGATTAAATTAGGAACGGCTCACTACATTTTCCCAGAAAATTTTGGGAATACAATATTATTATTTTCAGTATTTTGCAAAAATGTTGACGTCATCATAAAACTCTGTAAAGTAAAAACTCAACTCAAAAATGCTGCATCTGTTTCACTGTACTCTAAGTGCGAGGGAAGTTCTGTCGAAACAGCTTTCCACCAATTTTTTAGATTTGCTTAAATAGAGTGACTGAAAAAAATTAATGACCAAGTCTTAAAAAATAAACATCCAATCAGATTTAGGAATTTAACTCGTTACTACGGAAATTCGCAATTTAACACCTTTTAAATTTAACAAGTTTTAATTTACAAGTTTTATAATAGGGGCAAAATCAGTCTTATGTAGCAAGTACTAGCCCCGCCCAACCGCCCCCTATTTTCTCATAGAATATCTCATTTGCCAAAATAAGTTTTACCTTAGCAAGTACTAGTTTTTTCATTTTTGATTTTTCAATTTTACAAGTTTGTAATTTTTCGATTTTTTTTAATTCCAAAAGTTCAAAAATTGAAAAACTAAAAATTCGGAAAAATTTAAAAATCCAAAAACTGAAAAATTCAAAATCATCGAAAAATTGAAAAATTAATTATCGAGAAATAGGAAAATTAAAAATCGAAAAAGTGAAAAATTCTAAAAATTATAATTATTAGATATTTAAACTGAAAACTAGAAAAATTCCAAAACAAAAATTGAAGAAAGGAAAAACTCATCATTATTAATGAATGATTTATTGATTAAATTAGGAAAGGCTCACTTCATTTTCCCAGAAAATTTTGGGAATACAATACTGTTATTTTTAGTATTTTGGAAAAATGTTGACGTCATCACAAAATTCTGTAAAGTAAAAACTCAACTCAAAAATGCTGGATATGTTTCACTGTACTCTAGGTGCGAGGGAAGTTCTGTCGAAACAGCTTTCGACCAATTTTTTTCTTTTCTTTTTGTTTGTTCGAGTAAATCCTCCAAATAATTAGAAAACATATATTTACAAAACAAAAATCTCGGCGGTGCACGACGCTTAAATAAACGTACAAAACGTGGACACAATCATGTCGCTAAAATACAAATAAATAACTCCTCTCCGTGAAACAACAAAACAATCAGTCACAGCTGTGGTCCAATTAAATACTTACATACAAAATGGAATAACTTGATAAATAACATTAAGTATACCTGTCAAGGTAAGAACACTAACAACACCAATAAATTAAACAGTAAAAACAGTAACCGCTAAACAACAAAACTCAACCGCACTCCTCTAACCTTCTTTGGTGATTTCGTACAGTCATTTCGATAGTGTCCTCCGAATATTTACACTCCGTATTGCCGCACAGACAAAACAGCGATTTGTACTTTGCAATCCAAAACTTCTCCCCGTAGTCGAAACTCAACTCCTCATCGCTAGCTATATCCCTATTTGCGAAAAACGCGATCCTCGGAAAGCGCAAATCCTGGTGCTCCACGAACACCTTCACCGACGTCAAATTCGGACTGCAGGAATGATTGATAAATCGGGCGAAGTTCCCGTAGAACCTGGCGTCGATGCAGTACGTATCTATATCCTACAACACGCCGCTAATTTTTGCGTCCTCCTACAGGACACCTATACTCACGCTATCGCTCCTGCAGACCCTATTTTCCAAATCGAAGAGGAAACTGTCGTCGTCGCGCTTGTCGGCTTCCAGATCGGTGATGATCTCGCCGACGTACTCGCAAACGAAGCTACCTTTCGGGATCAAACGCAGCGTGCGAATCCCCCAACCTTTATCCATAGTTTTGAACAGCTCGAATCTTTGGGTTAGTCCTTTTTGTACTACTCGGTTATTGCACGTGATTGCGTTGCACGAACAGCGCTCATTACACTCGAATATCATGGGGATGTCTTCAAGGAGTCGCGTTAGTGGTGTGGTTAACGTCGGAGGAGGCTCACCTGTGTAACTGAAGTCGGGCACCAGCTTTCCTTCCTCGTCGTACCAGCACCGCACCGACAATTTCCCGCAGAAGCAGTCGTCGTCCACGCACCGATCCGCGCACTGGCAATACTGCAACGAGCTGATCTTGGTTTCGACTTTGACGTCGTCCGAGGTGGTGCAGTTGCGGGTGATGTACTGGAAGTCGATCGGCTGCGGCTCGGCGTCCACGTTATTGTAACACTGCACAGGGTTGGTCTCTTTGCCCTTGGAGATGTCGCTACAAATTCGCATTGAAAACAAAACACACACCTTTTCGGAGTCGGTTACTTGGCCAGAATGACGTTGCTCGACTCGTAGTCGACCGTCGCCTGCAGCGTGATGTTTAGAGCTATCGGGCTGTACGAGTCACCGCCCGGCGGGACGCAGTCCAGCGGCGATTCGCTGTTTTTATTCAGTATAGTAACGTCTGCACCCCTCGCCAGCAGAACCACGTTGCAGTCGTACATATCCTGGCGCGCCCCGATATGCCTGCAACGAATTTTTACTTTCGGTCGGGGAGTATTGTGGCGCATTGATTAAATACATATAGATAGACCCATGCTATTGTTTGGAGCGAACAGGCCAACGGCCGGCGAACAAGAGATGGCGCACCAACAGTCGGCCGTCAAACGCCGATGAAAAGCTTGGACACCAATCACGCGCATAGGTAACACAAATCACACCAACAATACATTTAATAAATCTACCACTCGATAGAGGGCGACGAAACAAATGTGTAAAAATCTCATAGTCAGCATTTAGATAATAATTTACAACGTTGCCAGATGAGTCTAACACGACTTTGCCGTTATTTCTATTCGATTAGATTTTATTTCGTTTAAAAGTTTCTGGTAAATAAATGGAATTATTATAATGAATAAACAATACAAACAAATTATTACTTGTTATTTTAAATACTTGTTAGTGTTGATGAAAACATAAATAGTTATTAAAGTTATTCTAAATAGCTCAAATTTTACAGTACGAGTGGGATGTTTCAGGACGAGTAGGTAGCTGAGTCTTTAATTTCGAAACGACTACTGCGAAAAGAGTTACCGGACGTATGCTGTTATGTATTTTATTTCATACTGTCAACATTTTTTTTTATTCGATAAAATTATTATTATTTTGAGACAAAAACCCAAATCGAGTCACTTTTTCTGACATCGTCAGCAACCGCTGTTTGGTAAATGTTTTAATTTGTTTATTCGTGCAAATCAGCATCATATGTTTAAACACATAGTATAACACTTCACAGGACTTGTTTTTTGTATAATCCTGCTCGATGAACCCATGTTTTGTGCACTCCGTCTCGAAGGACCAATGTTTGTGCAACTGGGCTCGTCCTACCAGTGTTTTTTGTAATCTGGTTGATACGACAATGTGATACCGAATTGTACTTTGATATTGCTCGAAGGACCTTTGTTTTGTTGTGTGCGAAATAATAGACAGGACGGTTACAGAAGTATACTATCCTCAAACATATTTGGCGTTTATGACTTCACACCAATTTGACTCCCATTATAATTCAATAGGCCGTCACAACCGGATGTCTTAGACCCGCTCACCGATACCTACCTGAAAAGACCTTTTCGACGTGCCAGGGACGGTCGAGACGCGAAGGACCGGACTCAGAGTAATTTTGTTTGTTAAAATTTTCAAATTTCAAAATTTCCTTACAGAACATGATTTATACTTTGAAGAAAATTACACAAAGACACAATTATTAGAAGTGTTACACACTCGAAAATTTGAGAAACAATATAAAATAGATGCTATGGCGCGAGATCGTGGATTTAGGGTGATTAGACTTCCGCCGTACCATTGTATATTTAACCCCATCGAACTAATCTGGTCGCAAATGAAAAATAATATAAGAAGGAATAATACGGCACCAAAATTTAGTAGTGCAACAATTGACATAATTAGGGAAGAAGCTTCCAAAATAACTGCCGAAATGCGGGCCAATTGTGTACGACATTCCACAAAAGAAGAAGACCAGTACAGGGCACGGTTGATAACACCGTTAATTATTAATTTAGAAGAGTCGAGTGATGATGACAGTGACTATTTCGATCAATAAATAAGCAGTAGTAGTTAATAAGTAAATAGTTGTGCTGTAATAAAAAATGATTGAGTACAAAGTTACTTTGTTTTTACTTAAAATAAAAAACTTGAAAGGCGCAGTTGTCGGTAAATGCAAAACTCAGTCCTGCGCTGTGCTTTTACCAGAAAAGGTCTTTTCAGGTAGGTATCGGTGAGCGGGTTTAAGACATCCGGTTGTGACGGCCTATTGAATTATAATGGGAGTCAAATTGGTGTGAAGTCATAAACGCCAAATATGTTTGAGGATAGTATACTACCCCATTTACTATATTTCCAATCTGTGCATTTTTCGCTTCATTCGTAGGAGCCAGGTAAGAAATATCAGTGAGACCGGCGGTCTTTGAATAGATCGTAAATAAAGAGATTTAGTGAAGTTTCCTAGAACAGTCTGTCTCTTCAATGAAAATTTTAGTTTGTTAATGTAATTACCCAATTAGGTGGGTAGAATTTTAAACCGGATCGATAATTTTACTATGAAATATAGGTACAATACGCTATATTCTTTTCTCGCTGCAAGACAGAACAAATAAAAGAATAGTTTCTAAAGTTGTTCCATTTTTCCACTGTTTGTTTTCTTTGAGATACGAGTAGTTCTTGTGCCGAAGTGAAACACCAAAAAGTCGAAAGTTCGGAAATCAGAGTGAATTTTAAAACACATAAAAACGACTTCTTTATTTATTTAAATATTGTCCTGTAACGTTCTGCGACGTGGAATTGAGTTTCTTAATGTACAAAAGTATGTTAGATAATAACCGAAAAATTTTCTTGATTAAAACTAAAGGAAACACAATTATTACTTGGAATAAAAATAAAGAATATCGAGAACTTGTGCTATGTATTAAAAATATTTAATTTAAATAAGTAAATTATGTTAATAAACCATAAAACCACAAAAACCTTTTTTTAACACAAATTATATTTCAATAAATTTTCAGTGGCGAGTTATCGATATACTTAATTGTATTTACATCATAAAATGTGAAAGAAAATGTCTGATTTTTGACTTTATGCGGCATATGTTACCCGTTTTTTAAGATTTATATGAATGCATATGTTTTGTCTTTAGTATATATCTGTCCGTCTCTAGTCTAATAAATTTTCTAAACAAATATAGTAAGTTTTGAGAAAACGCATTTAAAAGCATTTTCCTTTCTATTATTAGTAACAAAAGCGAGCACACAAAAGCGTAGAAAAAATTTCCAATGTGTTATTTACATTTATTTTACTTCATACTGTGTCAAATTTCACGTTTTACTGGATTCGAAGGAGTCCGGTAAAATAAAAAAAAACGGACAAGTCCGGTAAAATTGAGCTAAAAAGAACAAGTCCTGTAAAGTGTTACTATGTGTTTAAACACCATTTTTGATGCTGATTTGCACGAATAAACAAATTAAAACATTTACCAAACAGCGGTTGCTGACGATGTCAGAAAAAGTGACTCGATTTGAACTTTTTCTCAAAATAGTAATTATTTTATCGAATGAAAAAATATGTTGATAGTATGAAATAAAATCCATAACGACATGCGTCCGGTAACTCTTTTCGCAGTACTCGTTTCGAAATTAAAGACTCGGCTCCCTACAGTCGCCTCGTCCTGAAACATCTCACTCGTACTGTAAAATTTGAGTTACCGGACCCTATTTATAATAATGTTAGCACTAACAAGTATTTAAAATAACAAGTAATAATTTGTTTGTTTTATTTATTTTTATTCATTATAATAATCCCATTTCTTTACCAGAAACTTTTAAACGAAATAAAATCTAATCGAATAGAAATAACGGCAAAGTTGTGTTAGACTCATCTGGCAACGTTGTAAATTATCTAAATGCTGACTATGAGATTTTTACACATTTTTTTCGTCGCCCTCTATCGAGTGGTAGATTTATTAAATGTATTGTTGGTGTGATTTGTGTTACCTATGCGCGTGATTGGTGTCCAAGCTTTTCGCCGGCGTTTGACGGCCGCAAAGTCAGTTTATAGGAAAGGCGCTAGATTTAAATCCAAAAAAGGTTCATTAATTCTCATGTCAAGCTTGAAATTTGATGACAATAAATTGCACAATTTAAATTTTTTAACTGTTGTGCTAAAAATGCCGTGTTGTTGTGCAATAACCTGCCACAATAAATGTGGTGTTCACTTTTACAGACTGCCATAAAAAAAATAGATCCGGAGAGACGAAAAAAATGGCTTGACAATATACAGAGGGAAAATTTATCTGAATACGCTATGATTTGCGAGGTACCAATAATAACTAGTAAAATAATAGTACATTATGGAACTAGTGGATGAAGTTGAATTTCAACGGCGAGAGTGATTTTTTCACCCGAGCGAGTGCAACGAGCGAGTGCGAAAAAGAAACTCGAGCCGTTGAAATTTCTTCATCCGCGAGTTGCATATACTATTTTTTCTAAGAAATTAGGAAATAAATGTTTGTTTATGGTAGGTATTTTATTTTTGAAATACATTAACTGTAATAGAACAATTTGTGCAATTATCACCAATAATATTTACACTTTTATCGTAAGTATTATTTGAACTTGTATCTTTGTTTAAACTTAGTTGGCTGCTTCCTGTATCAATAACTGCACTTGTATCAGATTCGAAAATGCCGCATTGGCAGCATTCAAAATTTCTTCAGAAACTTCGTCAGTCTCACTCATGTTCATTGTTTTCACTTGTGTAAACTAGCAGTATTAAACGTCAAACACTAACGGGTCGTCCAGCCTAGGCGTCATGATTTTCGAAGCGCGCGAAGCGGACGGTGCGGTCGGTGCAGGCGATACGCGACACGTTTCGCTAGCTGCGAAACGCTCAGGCTGGACGACCCGTTAAAATCGTAGACGGCCGAGTATTTTTCCACTAGAGGGTGAAATGAAATTTCATCCACTGCCAGCGATGGGAAAATGACAAACTTCAACCTTAATGAGTAGAAAAAATAATATATTCATAACTATAAATATATTATAGAATCACTTTACAGAAGACCAGTTCGAAAATAGAAAGGACCGTAAAGTGTTACGTTGGAATGCTGTCCCAAATGTTTTTAACTTTGCAAATCAAGATTCTAAGAAATCGCTAAAACGTAAAAGAATAACAATAAATGAAGAAAATATTGGTATATTATTGTAACATTAGTCTGACTTACGTATTAAAATATCTATTGCTATAGCAGACATCGCTAGTATCAACGTTGAACATTCTAAAGAATTTCAAGAATTGATAAAATCGTTAGAAGAAAAATTGGAAACTGCAAATAAAACAATCCAAACTTTAAAAAATGAAAATGAACAACTACTCAAAAGTTTAAAGAAAATTTTCCAACCCGAACAAATTAGGTCTTTAAAAAAAGGTTTTCCTAACTGTACAAAATGGTCGGAGCAGACGGTAAGAAAGGCTTTAAAGTTATACCTTACCTGTGGTTCAAATGGCTATGAAGAAATTAGAAAACAAAATTATCCTTTTCCAAGTATCAGAACTTTGCAAAGAAGATTACAATTTTTCAAGTGCATGCCAGAAATACACGACCAAATTTTTAAATTGTTAGAGATAAAGGTGGACTGTTTACTTCCAGAAGAAAAACACGCCGTGTTAATGATTGATGAAATGGCTATAAAGCCTGAATTACAATTTGACAACAGTAGTGGTGAAGTAATAGGTATGATAATAACACAAATTTTGTTTTTAATAATTAGTCATAATAAATAATTACTTAGGTAAACCTACACTCAAAAATTCTGGTGATAAAGATAGCGATGAGTATGCAAGTCACGCTCTTGTGTTTATGCTGGACGGCGTAACGACCAGATGGAAACAAACGATTGGGTATCATTTTACAGGAAATACATACTCAGCTACAGAGGCAAATGAAATAATTTTATCAATTTTGAAAAAAGCTCATTCGATCAAATTGGATGTTTGCGCTATCATTTCGGATATGGGACCACAAAATCGAGCTCTTTGGCGTCTAAATCAAATTTCGGCTGGTAGATTTTCAAAAATTAACAATGTACAAGAATATCTCATTAACGACACCGAAAAGAAAAAAAAATATTTTGTAGCAGACGCCACCCATGTGTACAAAAATATTCGACTTGCGTTAACAGATGGAAACACATTGTATTTAAGTCAAGATGTTGTTAGTAAATATAATTTACCAACCAATGAAATTACCATTGAACCCATAAAGAAAGTTGTAGAAGAAGATAATAAAATGGAACTAAAAATTGCACCCTATTTAAAAGAAACCCATTTAAATCCAAATCATTACCAAAAAATGGCTGTACAAGGGGCTATGGCGATTTTAAATCACGACACATCTGCAGCAATTAAATTTTATATTTCGAAAGGAAAAATCTCACAAAATCATCTAACAGCTTGGTTTTTAGAACTTATTTATAAGTGGTATAGTATCCTGAGTTCTCGATCAGCAAAACTTGGTCTAAGCAAAAATAAAATGGTGGAATACGAAGAAACATTGAAATTCCTAAAATATATGATCCACATAAACATCAAACATTAAAATTGGACAAAAAGGGCACTGGAAACCAATTCAAACAGGCATTCTTTTAAGTACCCAAACTGTTTTGGACTTACAGGAAAAATTTTTGAACACCCATAAATTTCAGTATCTTTTACTAAGTAGATTTACGCAAGATGCTCTCGAAAATGTATTTTCAAATATTCGAGCTCGAAATCCAGTTCCTAACGCAAAAGAATTTAAAACGGCTATGCGATTAATTTCAGTGTCTCAGTATTTTAAAGAACCAAAATACGGAAATTATGGTATAACTGACGATATTCCACTGGTGGATTTTTTTACGGATGATAATCAGTCTGATATAGAAGTTGAGCCATTTCTTACAATAGATTCTTTAGCAGATAACATAAAACTTGAAGAAAAACAATCACTTTATTATCTTTTGGGATCCATCATAAGAAATATAAAAAAACAACCAACTGCACTGTCATACCTATTTTTCAACTATTGCTACACAAGATTTAGAAACTACTGAGGATTTAAAAACATTAGTTGATTTAAAATCATATAAGGAAGGACTGTTGTTATATCCGTCTAAATTAATATTTGATGTAGTACTTGAAGCAGAAAAAATTTTTAGACAAAACTGTAATAAATTAAGTGCAGGATCTCTAAAATTAGATCATTTAGTCTGCGGATTTTTAGATTTGTTAGATGAGGAATAATTTCCTATTTGTCACAACATCCAAAAACGTGTTATTAATTTATTTTTTAAAACAAGAATTTATATTCATTTAAGAATTTACCATTCTGCCTCTGTTGGATCTAATTTAGCTAAATCTAGTCGTAGTGTAGGTATGCGAGCAGTTTTAAACTTTAATTAGTTAATTAGTTGTTTTGTGTTAGTTATTTTGTTCTCGTTACTGAGTTAATTGAAATTAATAAATAATGAAACTTTTTACAATCAATTTGGAAACTATTTTTGGTCATGCTATTTTACGTCAAAATCTAGAGTATCATGAAATATTTGCTTTGAAAGCGCCATCATGCGGACAAAAAATCGTTATTGTTGCCCTGTCAAACTCGTGTCGGTACTTTATAAAAAAAAAATTATCAACTGACTTTGGACGGCCGACTGTTGGTGCGCCATCTCTTGTTCGCTCCAAACAATAGCATGGGTCTATCTATATGTATTTAATCAATGTGTGGCGCTCGCACTTACAAGGGCGTGTCCCCATGCGCGTTGACGGCGTTTACGTCGCACCCCTTATTCAGCAGCAACTCCGCAATGTGCGCGCTGCCGCTGAAGGCCGCCCAGTGCAAGGCCACGTTGTGCTCCACGTCCCGCAGCGAGGCGTCCGCACCTTTATAAATGAGAAAATTGGCGACCTCTGCGTAACCGTGTTCACATGCCCATACCAGAGGCGTCCAGCCGCCATCGTCTTGGCTGTTGACGAAGTTCTTGATCGCGGAGGCGGCGGCGAGCAGCAGCTCGCACGCCTTGAGGTTGCCGCATTTGGCGGCGAGGTGGAGGGCGGTCATGCCGTCGGTGCCCTGCAAAACGGCGCTTTTTTTCGGAAGACTCGCTCGAAAATTACCTTCAGGTCGATGCTGACGCCGGTCTTGATCAGGTAGTGGACGACGTCGTTGTGGTTCGATAGCACAGAGAGCATGACGGGCGTGTTCTGGTCCTTGTCGAAGGCGTCGGGCTGCGCCCCGGCCACGAGGAGCATGTGCACGACGGCGACTTGGCCTTTCTGCGCCGCTAGGTGCAACGCGGTGCCGTCGTTGCATTCGGGAATTTTACAACTAATGTCGACGCTTTTCGATCCTGCGGGAGAGGCGTTAGAAGAGCGAAACTTCGGCTGGGGGCTTTACCTAAAATTACCGCTACTTTTTCGACGGAGTTGTTGCGAATGGCGACGACCAAGTCCGCCAGTTCGAACTCCTCGTCGCCGTACTGCAGCGAGTTTTGCATGTCGAGCGCGCCGAGCGGGAGGAGTGGGGGCGTGATACATTTGATTTCGTCTTCGCTTTTACAACTACTCGGAAAACTCATTCTAGCCGACGCACTAAAACGTCCCCGGATTAATTGAAAGCCTTACCCTTTCGAAAAAAATTAGTACCACAACGAACTATACAAAAATGGCTTGCAAACTACATGGAATTTACCTAAGTTTAAAAATACGTGTGGCTTCATTCTGTAAATAAATTTCATAGAAAAAAATAACTGTTATACACGCAAAGACACACAAAAACAAAACAATCTAGTCTCGAAGACGCTCCACAATAATCACGATATAGTCTCGCCAGAAACATTCCGACTTTACCCGCGCGACGAAGGCCGTAAAATCGACATGATTCTGACGAAACTTTACCTGAACTGTCGAAGATCAACTCAATCAAAACAAAATCCCTGCTAGAATCTGACACACGGAAATTAAAAAAAATGAACAAAGTGACGACACGAAATCGACCGCAAAAACTTACTATTGAGCCTTTTGTACTGGGAGAAAAATGGGTCTTTTCGCCGAGTGCATGGTGATATTGACGTCGTAAGGAGGCGTAGGTGCACCGCAGTGGGGACAACAGTCGGCGTCGCCGACGGAAATCTGACATTCGCGATGGTAGTGGTGTTTGGATTCGCATTCGACGAACCGTCCCTGAATTAGAACGAAAATTTAAGACCCCACGAATGCAACTTTCCCGCCGTATACCTGTGTGCAGAAAACTCCACACGTTGGGCAACAGTTGTGACGCAGCAACCTGTTTCTGTGGGATTCGCACAGGATCGTGTACGGTATTCGGGTCGAGGGCCGCATCAGCATGGCTTCTTTGGGCTTTATGATGCGGCTGCAGCCTACGAATTTATCGCCGATGTTGTCCACCGCTGCGCAATAGCTAACTTCTGAAAAAAAAAAAAATTATGTAATTCTCTTTTATTAGCGACGATCCTAACATCAGAAAAAGGACAGACCTGCTGATTTTCCAATAAACCTAACATTTTTACTTCCCGAGCGTAAGCAAAGGAAGTATTGTAATCGAGTCCGTAATAAAGGACATCGGCGCTAAATTCAAACTGGCCCAAAGTCGAATATTATTGCTTTCATCTGTGTGGTCCGAGCATTTTTTTAATTCGCATCGATTTTTGAGATTTTTACCTTTTCGATTTTAGGATTTCTCAGTTTTTCGATTTTTATTTTGGAGTTCTCGCATTTTTTAATTTTTTGTTATCGATTTTTCAGTTTCTCGATTTTTATTTCGTCAGTTTTTTCAGGTTTCAATGTCATAATTTTTAGATTTGACAGTTTCTCGTTTCTTCGATTTTTCCAGTTTAAGATATTTTTATTTTTTGATTTTTCAATTGTTGATTCTTTCGTTATCCGATTTTTTACTTTCACTATTTTTTCAACATTTCGGTATTTCAATTTTTTTATTGTTCAATGTTTCATTTTTTCAATTTTTCAGTTTTCGATTTTTTTAATTTTACAGTTTTTCGATGTTTACTTTGACATTCTTCAACTTTTGAATTTTACAATTTGTCGATTTTTAATTAAACAGTTTTTCGATTTTACAGTTTCTTTTTTTTTCAATTTCTCAAGTTTTAAGATTACAATTTTTAAATTTCTCGGTGTTTCAAGTTTCGTTTTTTCTATTTTTGATTTTCAATTTTGCAATTGTTGACTTTTCTTTTTGTAAATTTTCAGTTTTTTCATTTTTAAGATTATAATTTTTCCTTTTCCAATTGTTGACATCTTAATTATTCGATTTTGAGTTTCTTTATTTTTGCAGTTCTTCGATTTTTCAGTTTTTATTTTTTTAAAATTTCACTTTTAATAAGTTTGTCCTTTTGTTGAAAAATTAAAAAAAGAATAATTGAGAAAATGAAAAATTAAAAATAGAGTATGTACATATGTACTACCAAGTATGTAATTCCGAGTTGTTTCGTTTCTTCGATTTTTTATTTTCTCAATTCGAGATTTTTAAATTTTTGTTTTTTTTTAATTGTTAATTTTTCGATTTTCATTATGATTTTTATTTTTCAGTAAAATTTTCGATTTTTTAATTTGCAGATATTTTAATTTTGCGATTTTCCAAGTTGCTTTTTACCATTTTTCGTTTTTTCGATTTTTCAATTTCTCAATTTTTCAGGTTTCAATATTATAAGTTTTCGATTTTACGTTTTAATTTTTTTCAAATTTACAATTTTGTAATAGTTTCATTTTTAAATCTCCCGAGGATTCTTTTTCAAGTGTACAATTCTTGGGTTTTCAATTATCCAATTTTTCAGTTTCTGCATTTTGTCAAATCTTTGATTTCTCGGTTTTTAAATTTTTCGGTTTTTCAGTGTTTCTTTTTTCAATTTCTGAATTTTTAGTTTTCCGATTTTCATTTAAAAATTTTTGGATTTTGAAATTTTTTTTTTGTATTTTTGATTGTTTAATTTACAGAAATTTTTGTTTTTTTTATTTTTCGTTTTTTCAATTTTTCACTTTCTCGATTTTTAATTAATCAGGGTTTTCAGGTGTCAACATTACAATTTTTTGATTTTTCAATTGTTTTAACCTTTTAATTATTCGATTTTGAGTTGCTTTATGTTTTCAATTCTTCAATATCTCAATTTTTGAATTGTTGGCTTTTTCAGTGTTTCTTTTTCGATTTTTCAGTTTTTAATTTTTTGATTTTTCAATTTTTCAGTGTTACAATTTTCCGATTTTTTGGTTTTTTGAAATTCCAGTTTTAATAAATTTGTCCTTAATTAAAAAAAGAAAAATTGAGAAAATAAAAAAAGTACCTACTTCCAAGTAGGTAATTCCATATTATCTTGTTTCTTCGATTTTGTAATTGTTTCATTTTTAAATTGGCTGATTTTTAATTTTTCACTTTTTTCAAATAATTATTACGGATTTTATTATTCAATTTTTGGCTTTTCCATTTTCCAATTTTTCAGTTTCTGTATTTTTTCAATTCTTCGATTTCTCAACTTTTAAATTTTTCGGTTTTTCAGTGTTTCGTTTTTTTCATGTTACAATTTTTTAATTTTTCCATGTTTCGTTTTTACAATTTCTTAATTTTTTAGTTTTCCGGTTTTGATTTTAAAATTTTTGAATTTTGAAATTAATTTTTTTTTTCGATTTTTCAATTGTTTTTTAACCTTTTAATTATTCGATTTTGAGTAGCTTTACTTTTTCAATTCTTCAATATCTCAATTTTTAAATGTTGGGTTTTTCAATGTTTCTTTTTCGATTTTTCAGTTTTTAATTTTTGATTTTTTAGAATTCCAGTTTTAATAAATTTGTTCTTTTGTTAAAATTAAAAAACGAAAAATTGAGAAAATAAAAAAAAGTACTTCCAAGTAAGCAATTCCAAATTATCTTGTTTCTTCGATTTTTTGATTTCTCAATTTGAGATTTTTATATTTTTCGTTTTTTTAATTGATAATTTTTCGATTTTCCGTGTTTCGATTTCTCCATTTTTTAGTTTTGGGATTTTTATTATGAAATTGTTGCATTTTTCAGTAAAATTTTTGTATTTTTCAATTTTTGGATTTCTATCTGTTGAATTTTACAATTTTTCGTTAATTCGATTTTTCAATTCTTAGATTTTTAATTTATCACTTTTTCAGGTTTCAATATTACAAAATTTCGATTTCACAGTTTCTATTGTTTTTTCGTTACCCAATTTTCAGTTTGCCAATTTTTTCAATTTTTCGATATTTCAAGTTTGGTTTTTCAATTTTTGATTTTCAATTTTTTCATATATTTTTTTTTTCAAATATACAATTTTGTAATTGTTTCATTTTTAAATTTGCCGATTTTTAATTTTTCACTTTATTCAAATAATTATTACGGTTTTTATTATTCAATTTTTGGCTTTTCCAGTTTCCGATTTTTCAGTTTCTGTATTTTTTCAATTCTTCGATTTCTCAACTTTTAAATTTTTCGGTTTTTCAGTGTTTTGTTTTTTCGATATTACAATTTTTTAATTTTTCCATGTTTCGTTTTTACAATTTCTTAATTTTTAGTTTTCCGGTTTTGATTTTAAAATTTTTGAATTTTGAAATTAATTTTTTTTTTGTATCTTGATTGTTTAATTTATAGAAGTTTTTGTTTTTCGTTGTTTCAATTTTTCACTTTCTCGATTTTTAATTAATCAGGGTTTTCAGGTTTCAATATGACAATTTTTCCATTTTTTAATTGTTTTAACCTTTTAATTATTCGATTTTGAGTTGCTTTTTTTTTTCAATTCTTCAATATCTCAATTTTTAGATTGTTGGGTTTTTCAATTTGTCAGTGTTACAATTTTCCGATTTTTTGATTTTTTAAAATTTCAGTTCTAATAAATTTGTCCTTGTATTAAAATTAAAAAACGAAAACAAGAGAAAATAAAAAATAAAAAAAGTACTTCCAAGTAGGTAATTCCAAATTATCTTGTTTCTTCGATTTTTTTGATTTCTCAATTTGTGAGTTTTATATTTTTCGTTTTTTTAATTGATAATTTTTCGATTTTCTAATTTGCTTTTTAATTTTTCGATTTTCTATTTGTTGAATTTTACAATTTTTCGTTTATTCGATTTTTCAATTCTTAGAAATTAAAATTTATCACTTTTTCAGGTTTCAATGTTTCAAATTTTCGATTTTACAGTTTCTATCTTTTTCTCAGTTGTTCCATTTTTTAATTGTTTTTTCGTTACCCAATTTTCAGTTTGCCGATTTTTTCAATTTTTCGATATTTCAAGTTTGGTTTTTCAACTTTTGATTTTCAATTTTTCATTTCCTCAATTTTTGGCTCTTCATTTTCTGTATTTTTTCAATTCTTCGATTTCTCAACTTTTAAATTTTTCGGTTTTTCAGTGTTTCGTTTTTTCGAAGTTACAATTTTTTAATTTTTACATGTTTCGTTTTTACAATTTCTTAATTTTTTAGTTTTCCGGTTTTCATTTTAAATTTTTTCAAAATTTCGGTTTGAATACATTTGTCCTTTTGTTGAACAATTAAAAAATGGAAATCGAGAAAATGAAGAAATAAAAAAAGAGAATTTGAAAAATTGTATACCAAAAAATTGCAGAATTGTTTCTTTTTGCCGATTTTTCAATGTCTTGATTTTTAATTGTTTTGTTTTTTGATGTTTCACTGTTACAATTCTCCGGTTTTTCAAAAGTTCGGTTTGAATAAATTTGTTCTTTACTGAAGAATTAAAAAATGAAAAATCTAGAAAATGAAAAATTAAAAATCGAGAATTTGAAAAATTTTATATCGAAAAATTGCAGAATTGCTTCGTTTTGCCGATTTTTCAAAATCTCGATTTTTAAATAATTAGAGTTTTGTGGTTTCAATATTACAATTTTTCGATTTTTAATTATCCAATTCAATTGCTAAATTTTTCAAGTTTTCGATATTTCTAGTTTCATTTTCAAATCTTTGGATTTTGAAATTAAATTTTTTTGTATTTTTGATTATTTAATTTATAGAAATTTTTGTTTTTCGTTTTTTCAATTTCTCGATTTTTAATTAATCAGGGTTTTCAAGTTTCTCGATCAGGGTTTCAATATTATAATTTTTAGATTTTTCAATTTTTAAATTTTGCGATATTTCAAGTTTCATTTTTCAGTTTTTAAGCCGCATTTTTTCGGTTTTTTCAAATTTTCTCTATTTTTTCAATTCTTCGATTTCTCAGTTTTTTGATTTTTCAATTCAATTCAAAATTTCGGTTTAAATAAATTTGTCCTGTTGTTGAACAATTAAAACATGACAAATCGAGAAAATGAAGAAATAAAAATTGAGAATTTGAAAAATTTTATACCGAAAAATTGCAGAATTGTTTCTTTTTGTCGATTTTTCAATTTCTCGATTTTTAATTGTTTCATTTTTTGATGTTTCAGTGTTACTATTTTCCGGTTTTTCAAAAGTTCAGTTTGAATAAATTTGTCCTTTGTTGAAGAATTAAAAAATGAAAAATCGAGAATTTGAAAAATTTTATATCGAAAAATTGCAGAATTGCTTTGTTTTGCCGATTTTTCAATTTCTCGATTTTTAATTAATCAGTTTTGAGGTTTCAATATTACAATTTTTCGATTTTTAATTATCCAATTCAATTTCTAAATTTATCAAGTTTTCAATATTGCAAGTTTCATTTTAAAATCTTTGGATTTTGAAATTAAATTTTTTTGTATTTTTGACTATTTAATTTATAGAAATTTTTATTTTTCGTTTTTTCAATTTTTCGATTTTTAATTAATCAGGGTTTTCAGGTTTCTATATTACAATTTTTCGATATTTCAATTGTTTTTTCAATTTTTTTTTTGTTTTTCGTTTTTTCAATTTTTCAATTTCTCAATTTTTAATTAATAAGGGTTTTCAGGTTTCTATATTTAGATTTTTCAATTGTTTTTCAATTATCCACTTGTTTAATTTCTCATGTTTTCATTTTTCGATTTTTCAATTTTAAATTTTTTCGATATTTCAAGTTTCATTTTTCAATTTTTGATTGTCATTTTTTCGGTTTTTTCAATTTATCTTTATTTTTTTCAATTCTTGGACTTCTCAATTTTTAAATTTTTTGATTTTTCAATTTTATAATTTTTAGACGTTTCAATGTTACAATTTTCTGATTTTTAAATTTTAAAATTTTTCAAAATTTCGGTTTGAATAAATTTGTCCTTTTGTTGAACAATCAAAATTGTTTCTTTTTGTTGATTTTTTCAATTTCTCGATTTTTAATTATTTTGTTTTTTGATGTTTCAATGTTACAAGTTTTCGGTTTTTCAAAGTTCAGTTTGAATAAATTTAACCTTTTGTTGAACAATTAAAAAATGAAAAATCGAGAATTTGAAAAATATTATATCGAAAAATTGCAGAATTGTTATTCGATTTTGCAATATTTTATTAAAATTGAAAAATTGCAAAATTGTTTCGTTTTTCGATTTTTTGATGTTTCAATTTCGGGATTTTTTATTTTTTCGTTTTTCCAATTTTTCAATTTTTCGGTGACTCGACTTTTTAGTTTCTCGATTTTGAAATTTTTGGATTTTTCATTTTAAAATTTTTGTATTCTTCGTTATTTCAATGATACAATTTTAAGATTTTCCAATATATTAGTTTGGATAAATTTGTTTTTTTGCTGAAAAATAAAAAAACACGAAATTGAAAAATTAAAAAACTAAAAGTTTAAAACTCAGAAAACTGTAAAATCAAAAACTGAAGAATCTGTAAAATTAACAAATCGGTGCCGACAGCGATTATTAAACTCTTCAAATAAACCCAAACAACTAGCAAATCTAAATTTATATGGCTACTATCTTTTAAAAAACTTCACATTTGTAACCTGAATTGAAATATCAAAAAAAAATACGTAAACTGTGTCAATAAAGCCTGACATTTACACAGCGATAAGACTGGCTGATAAGACTTCCTGTAAGTTATTTTGCATGAAAGAACATACCTTCGTCACTACTCCCTAAATAAAACTGAGTTTTCTCCGTGCACAAACACAGCCGTGCCGCCACCACCTCGTCCCCGCCCTCAGAACTGTCATTTTTCGCAAATAACGCATTCTCATCGTTTGGGGCGTCTTGCAAGCTAGGCTCATCCAAATCCGTCGCTGAATCGTCTTTAAACCGACTGCAAAATACTTATATTCAGCAAATAACCCCCACAAACAAAATAATACCTAGTGGAGACCCTCCGCGACCTCCTGCAGCCACTCTCGTCGGACTTCAGCCCATCCTGCACGCTCTGATCCGAGTCCGAATCGCGGCTGCTGTCGCTCTTAAACCGCTTCGCCTTCTTCCCATGCTTGTTGTGCTTGTGCTTATGTTTCCTGTGATTCCTGTCGTTCTCCTCGTCCGTGAAGCTATCGTCGTTGCTCTTCGCTTTCTCGTTTTTCGCTTTGCCTTTCTCCGACTTGGTCTTCTCCTGCTTGGCCAGCGCCAGGTTCTCGAGGATCTTCTGCGTTGGCTTGAGCTGGCGCGTGAGCCTCTGCGGCTTGTTGGACTCGTTGTACGACTTTTCTTTCCTCGCGATGGCGCTCTGCAGCACCGACTCCGAGCAGTCCTTGCTGCGTCTACGGGCCGACCGCTTCAGCCCCGACTCCTCCAATTTTTCGTCGACTTTCTGCCGCAGGCGCCGGCCGGTCTCCTTGGCTTTCGCGGGGGACTCCGCCGTGGGCTTCTTAAAAGACAGGATGATTCGAGGCTTCTCGACCTCGTCGGCGGCGGGCTCGTCGCCGTGGTTTTCCTCGTTTGTACTCTCTTCAGTCTTTGTGTTCTCTTCAGCGGCGTTGTTGAGACTAGAGCTAGAGTCCGCGGTGCCTGCTTCGGGGCTGTCTTCGCCGTTCGGTTTTTCAGTCTTGTTGAATTCGCTCTTCATTTCGCCTAGGATTTTGTCGATGATGTTCTTGTCTTCGCCTTGAATGTTGGACTCTCCGGATTCGCTGTCACCAGAGTTCATTCTGTTTTCAGACACGGTGGGTTTAAATTGGGCTGGGTTCGGTTAAACGGGCGGATTTTCACATAGTAAACTGGGTATGGGGCGACGGGGATTTCATCGAGCTAATTCTACAAAACTTGATGTCAACACAGACACCAAGACATTTCTTGGGTAGCGGCGGCGCGAACCGGTACCGGTATTACAGGGCACAGCTTGAGTGACACTTGACGTGTGTCAAATTTATAGGTTTCTGTTGATATTGTTTGATTTGAATGAATTTGTCTCCTTAAAACAGAGGCCTAAAATTATTAATTAAGTTCTCCTTAAAACAGAGGCCTAAAATTATTAATTAAGTTCTTAATTATAATTATTTAATTATATATTATCATTATTACTTTTAAAATTAAATTATGCAACCAAATATACATCTCAAGTCATTCTATTGCTGTGTCAGTCTCCTAAATCCAAAATTTACAAATTAAAAGTAGGATTTATAAACTTAAACTTCCTGTTGAGGTTAAAGTTCCCCTTGCAGTTGCTGCTCCCGCTGACGTTGATTTTAGAGATGAAAATTGTCTTTAAAATTGTTCAACTTTTGCCGTATTTAAGGGTGCCCAGTAGCAGACCGAAAAATGAGCTAAATAGATTTTCATTTTACGGGCGTAATTTCAACTTTGAAAAAAAGATCGACATTTCAATTGATAGATAATGTCTAAATCTTTGGGGAAGTCAGAATATTTTTTAAAATAAGTGATTGTTTAGTGTTTAATTAATCGTTCATTCTTCCAAGGAAATTCAATTTTTAGACGAGGAGAGAGCATTTTTCGCTTCAACTTTTATATCAGTGCAAAGACAACATTGAGCTCTATGGGGAAGAACCGGTCATTTTTGTTTAAAATTTATATTTATCAAAATATTTGCTTTTTAAAAAAATACTGAATAATGAAAATAAAGTGAAACTAGGCAACCCTATTTACAAAGTTTTCCGTTTCAATAAATGGCTGAGTTTTACACAGCAGGGAGCCTTGCCGACCGACCCTTTCAGGTAATCAGTCCAGGTACTTTAGGTCATAAAACTCCTAAATACTCTTAGCTGACCAATATTGTTGAAACTCTTTTACAAGTCGACTTCTTTCATTGCTGACATAATTTGATTTAAAAGTATGCAAATTTTTATAATTTTATATATTCTACTAAAAGTATTTTCTTTGAAAAAATTATTCAAATATTTTTCATTAATCTGTCATTTTATATATTAATCAATACACAAAACTGACAAGATTTAGATTCTCATCACTTCACTAACCACTTATTTACCTGAACAATCATATTTATTTAAATTTAATTTTTTGATACTCTTTTCCGCACCACCTATGACGTAGAGTATTATAGGCACGTTTTTTACGTGATATCTCCAGTAAACCTATTCCACTATTACTATTTATTCCTGTGTGTGTTTATACTAGAAGGTCAAAAGATTTATATGAACTGCACATGACGCGAATGCAAATAAAAAAAAATTTAATTGTACAATTTTTTCTTTACAATTTGTCTAATGGGTTGACTTGTTTAATAACGAGAATCTACTCTCTCCGGAAGTAAGGCATATAAATAAAATTTTTCTAGGGCTCTATCATATTATTTTCCCCAAATTTATCATCTCGTTGTATTAAGCATTATTTAAATTGGACATTTTATATATTTCTACGATAGCGTTTTTGTTTATTAAGCCGTCTGGCGATGCCGCTAAAAATGTACAAACCGCATTGTCTTATTGTCAGTTTGGTGTTACTGCAAAATGCTTCAGTTGCCCTTGCTTCATTTTCTATGCAAAGATTTTGGGAGAATACATGCTGAACTAGATTTGCAGGGATGTAAAATGTTTTTCACAGTACAATAGGATTAGCCGTGTTACTTGTTCTCTCATTTTGCAAATTTTACCAAAATAACGTTCGGTTAGTCCAAAGGATTTTTCTGCGCACCATTCTGGATTATTGCGTTCGCCAATTGTGTTTTGTTCGATTAAAAAGACATCAACGTTTGAAAGTTTTTTGAGAAATACTTTTTGCGCTGTGACATATCAGATATTTCAACTGCCTCGTTAGATACATCGTCGCTCGAGAACTTGTATGATCCACAGACCGGAGCGCGCTCAGGCCAATGTCGACTCTATAAGCCTCCAGAAATTCTGCGGGAAAGAGTTATTATTTAGATGCTTTTGTTTACACACGTCTCACATGGTTCACTCGATTTTGACACTCAACTATTTTTTTGTTTAACCAAGAATTAATACTTTCATTGCGTTTGATACTAACGTCCTAAATTAGCAATACTAGTGGAACAGTAATCATGCAATAGAGTTTTTTGGGAAAGTACAGTTATTTTTATGTTTTAGCAGCAATGTGTTCTATTTTTTATTAATTTTTACATATTTTTAGTCACAATTTTGGTAGTTATTTTTTACTTTTATTTTTAGCAATAATAAATAGTACAAACATGAAAAAATAAAAAAAAATAAAATTGGAAAATCTAAAATTTAGAAATCAGAACTGGAATTACGAATTCGATTTTATAAGATTTGTTTTTTTTTTCAATTTTTCGATATTTCAGTTTTTGATTTTCAGATTAAACAGTTGTACAATTTTCCGATTTCTCATTTATCCAATTTTTCAATTTGTCATTTTTTGATTTTTTAGTTTTTTTATTTTTAGCAAGTACTAGCCCCACTGACCCAGTTTTTATTTTCTTAGAAGAATAAGTCATCTGACAAAATTAGTCTTATCTTGACAAGTACTAGCCCCGCCCACCCACCCTTTATTTTCTTAGAAGCGTGGGTCATCTGCCAGAATCAGTCTTATCTTGACAAGTACTAGCCCCGCCCACCCACCCTTATTTTCTTAGAGGATATGTCATTTGCAACAATCAGTCTCATACTTGCCAAGATATGATTGATTTTAGCAGGTGACCTACTCTTCTAAGAAAATAAAGGGTGGGTGGGCGGGGCTAGTATCTTTTCTTAGAAGACTAGGTCATTTGTCAAAATAAGTCTTATTTTGGCAAATACTAGCCTGGCCCACCCGCCCTTTATTTTCTTGGAGGGTAGGTAATTTGGCAAGTACTAGCCCCACCCACCCGCCCTTTGTTTTCTTAGAGAGTAGATCATTTGCCAAAATCAGTCTTATCGTAGCGAGTACTACTAAACTTTTCAGTTTTTCGATTTTTCGACTTCGAATTTTTCAATTTCTCGCTTATTAAATTTTCAACTTTTTGATCTCTTTCGATTTTTGATTTCTCTGGGCAACTGAAAAAAAAACTTTCGATTTTTTAATTTTACAATTTTGGCAGTTTTCCGATTTCTCAATTATTTGATTTTTAAAAATATCGAGAAAATAGATGTTTATTTTTTTTAATTTTCGACCGAGTTTTTGGGAGGCAGTAAAAAGTAATTTTGTCAGCGATTGCCATGTTTACCGTAACTTTAAAACATCTGAAAATTTTGTTTCTAATTTTCAGTTTTTGGATTTTTCGATTTTTCAAAATTTCGGTTCGAATAAATTTCTTCCTTTAGTTAAAAAATCGAAAAATGACAAATCGTGAAAAGGAAAAATTTTAACTTGAGAACTTGAAAAATTAAAAATCAAAAAATTTCAAAATTGTAAAATTAAAACTTGAAAAATCAAAAGATGGGAATTAAAAACTGCTAAATTGTCAAACAACTTATCAAATGAAATATTCACAAGTTGCCAAATCTAAAAACTAAAAAAAAATAAATGAAAACTGGAATTTCGAATTCGATTTTATAAGATTTGTTTTTTTTTCAATTTTTCGATATTTCAGTTTTTGATTTTCCGATTAAACAGTTGTACAATTTTCCAATTTATCATTTATCCAATTTTTCAATTTGTCATTCTTTAATTTTTAAGTTTTTCTATTTTTAGCAAGTACTAGCCCTACTCACCCAGCATTTATTTTCTTAGAAGAATAAGTCATCTGACAAAATCAGTTTTATCTTGGCAAGTGCTAGCCTCCCCCCCACCCTCCCTTATTTTCTTAGAGGATATGTCATTTGCCAAAATTAGTCTCATCGTGACAAGTACAAGAAATTGAACAATCGTATAATTGAAAAATCGAAACATCGAAAAACTGGAAAATCGAAAAATTAAAAAAAAAATGGAAAATCAGAAATTTAATGAATTCCGAAAATTGAAAAACTGAAATATGCATAGAAGAACTGAAAACTCGAGAAATCGAAAAATCTACAATTTTAAAAATTGAAAAATTAAAATATCGAGAAGTTGAAAAATTGCGAAATCGTATCAGTGAAACATCAGACAATTGAGAAATCGAAAAATAAAAAAATGGAGAAATCGAAAATTTGAAGAATGGAAAAATTGAAAATGTCAAAAATTAAAATACTGAAAAATTGAAACATCAAACGTTGAAAAATCGAAAAACCGAAAAGCCGAAAAATCTCAATAATGCATTTATAAACCACAAGTTCAGGATTATGCTACTAAAAAATTGATAACGTCATCTCAAAATTTTGCTGTTTAAATTCTACTGAAAATGTGCAAAATACGAGTATGATCAGTTTTTACTTGTAATTTATCATTGCATTCATATTTTTTTAGATTTGCTTATATACCTAGGTGGCTCAAAAAAATTATGAATGAGTCAATTTATTCTATTGATTAAATCAGTCTCGACTCTCTCCATTTTCCCAGAAATTTTTGGAATACTGTTATTTTTAATCTAATCCACATTGATTTACGTGTCCTTGCAAAATGTTGATGATTTCATCACAAAATTGTGTACCTAAAGTAAAAATTTAACTCGAAAATGCTGGATATGTTTCATTGTGTGCGAGGAAAGTTCTGTCGAAACAACTTTCCACTAATTTTTTTTGCTATTATATTTGAACATAAACAGTTTATTTTATATATTTTTAAAACATTATAAAGAAAATAAAAAGTTGTGTTAGACTGAACCTTGTGGGTTTCTCAATCTATTTTTCGCAGCATTTTAAACTTTCAACTCAATTTCTTTCAAAATACATAGAAATGGATTTCGATGGTTATTTCCCTGTACCCTTCATTTGAAAATAAATAAGCTCATCTGGTGTTGTTTACCGATTTGCATTTTATGACGGACTCCCTACAGTGACCATAATCTCTCCTCTCTTGG